ACCGAGATGGAGGCCGGTGAGGTTGCCCTGGTCGAAGCTGCTGTCGTGTAAACGGGGGAGCGAGGGGAAACATTGAAATGGGGAAGGACAATCCGGCGATTGTGGGGCGGTTGACAAGAACATGGAGGCAGGAGCATGGAGCATGGGAGCACAGACCTTGTCACCAGTGGGCCCATTGCCTTACCCCACACTTTGCACCTTCCAGGGCAGGTTGATGGGGGACGCAGGCAGAGCAGGTGCGTTCGTTGCACTTGCCCGCTGCAACTTCCTCCATTCATGGATTACTAAGGACGGAAAGTAAAGACTCAAGGAACACTGAAGTTCTGAACTGGGCCTACTCCGTACCTACCTTATTTACCTAAGAATGCTGAGGTACCTTGGCTTGAGGGAAGGTGCCTGAGGTGACTTCTACCTGCCTCCTCCTCCTCCGCACTGGATGCTTTCCCCCAATGGAGCTTGGTTCCCTTCCCGAGCTCTCACCCATTCCCACCTCCCACACCACCCTCCTCTCCCCTCTCCCGCAATGGCCTACATATTTCACCACACGCACAACAACAAAACTGGAACCCTCCGTCGACCTCCCTCTACCTAATGCAAGCTGCAGCCATCGGGAAATTTCTCAACTGCAAGGTAGCTTGGAGATGGGATGTCACGTTCATGGAAGGGTCTCCGATACGAATGGGTCCCCGAAAATTCGATGCAATTTCCCGCCAGCCAGAAGGCCCCCTTCGAAATCGAGAGGAAGAGACCCGGACGAAGAAGAGAGAGGGGGGAGGGGCAGCCTGGTCAAGTGAGCCACCGGCGTATCGGCCGGATGCTTGCCGGGCCTCCCTCAGAAAAGAGAAACAATAATTCACGAGAACGACAAGAAGCAGGAGGAAACTGACGGATATACCCTTCCACTTCCTAAGGTCCAGAATGGGCTGACAGGGTTCAGCATGATGGATCGACTGAGCACACACTAAGGTACGGGTACACACACAGCCAGGCATGCCATACGTACGGAGTATGTCTTGTCTTGTCGTTCTTGGGGTAATTATCAGAGGCAATGTACCTTTTCCCTGTCCTGTTCTTGTCTCCTCCTTCTGGCCTTTGATGCTCTTGCGTTGCAGTTGCACCGAGACACCCGACTGCGACTCTTGTGTCCGCTTCTCTCGTCGCTACCTGGTCTCAACGGGCAGATGAACCTACGTGTTACGGTGTTAGGCCACCAAGTCGCACACCATGTAACAGTCCTGTGGCTGATTTGTTATTATATGAACCTATTTTGCCTCTACATTTATGGGAGGTTCTTCGGGAGATTTTGCGTTTTCCTAGCCCCCCCTCTCCTCCGACAAGCTCCCGCCCTCTCCAGCGCACGTCTCGGACTCCGCATTTGGAGATATGGAGCTGGGTACCGAGTAGCTTTCGCTGGGAGGTGAGGTATCCGTAGATGCTCAAGACTCAAGCCCCAAGGTCTCTCGTGCAGGGATGGTGGCCGTCGTTCTGGAGTCCCAGCTTCAGATTCAGATTCTTTCAAACTCATGACACACAGCAACCGGGGGTGGGGGGTTGAGGGTTGAGCTAGGTCACAGGAACGCACCAGCCCAGAAGCAGCAAACCGAGCTTTGCCTCGTCTCGCCTCGCCCGATTCTACAACGGCAGGAATGTGAAGGTGATCAGGGCCGAGAGCGCGGGGGGGTTTCGAAATGAACAAGATCGATCATCTCTTCTCGATACCCTGGCACGCCGCACGCCTGACTTCCGCAAGTACTCCGTACACTACGAAATACTTGGTCTTGGGTAGGTAGACGGTGTCGTGTGGTTTCTCCAAAAAGAGGACGAGTGAGTGGTTCATTGGCAATGTGGCCGTCTCATCTAGGGCTCCCTGTCACGATTGGCCGCTATTGCGTAGCTGCCATTGGCGCGTCTTGAGACCAGCAGTCTCCCCGGTGTGTATTCCGACGCCCAATGGAGAAGTATCCATGCTCCCCTTCCAGCGTCAGTGCAGCAAAATGCAGCTTGCACGGACACGTCGACGCAGACCAAGGCACAGCTGATTTGTGTGCTAATTAGATAAGTAGGTAGGTATTCAGATGCAGAGGTATACGGATGGGGGAGTGCAGAGAAGACAAGAGCTAATCAGTTGGTGAAGGGTCTGGAATGAAGAGAGGCAGGCAGCCTTAGCAGCCCAACAGCAACGATGTCGGGCAAATTAAGGTAGAAGCTTGTTGAGATGAGACGAGATGCCGACATTTGTTTTTGCTTTGGGCTGCGTCTTGGGATCTCGCCAATGGATCCGCAGTGCAGATGCAGATATAACATACACACGACAGCAGATCACGGAAGTGCCTTGAGTTAATAGTTACTGGCTCAGTGGGATGGTGGACTTCCATTGAATCATCGGCGTCCAATGGCCCTTGCCGACGAGGGATGATTTCATGGCTGAGCTCCCATTGGTACTGGCTGTGAAGCTCCCCGCCCTGCTTCCCCCACCACATGCAACCATCTTTTAGGGTGGTTCAACAGGGCAGTCCTTGGTTGAAGCTTGGCCAGCCGCTACTTGACCAGGTCATCCGAGGAAGGTCTCTTGTTGGTGGGATCCTCCGCAAAAGGATACTTCACACATGTCAACCCCAAAGTCCCCTTTTTCCATTCGTGTCTACGGAATACCTTAGCTACGAATGCTCAAGGCCACCCAGAGTGAGGTGACTTGACTCTCAGAGTCTCAATGCTGCTGCTCCAAATCATCCCGTCGCCCAAGAATCCTGCGACTCTTTTCAATTCTCGACCTACCCATGCCATCGTGCTTCAGACGCTTTGCTTGACTTAAGGTACTGCACCTTGGCTGACCTTGGTCCTTTCTTCTCTCCTTCTTCTCATCTAATTGCTACCGATGCAAGGCCTCTTTGCCGGCTACGGGATTCATAGGTACTTAGGGATATCCGAACGGAGGTAAGGCAAGGTACCTTTGGAGATTGGAGAGATTGGAAAGGGCAGCGGGGTTGGCTGAGGTAAGCTACTGATACCTTCCCTGTCATTGGCCAGGGAGGGGGGAGATGCTTGCCGGTACGTAGATACTTGGGTACGTAATACCCAGGAAGGAACGGAGTAAGGTAGATAAGGGTAGGTACCTACCTACGTACCTCAAGGTAGGGAAGACCGGGAAAGAGTGACACTACGAGTGCGGCAGCGGCAGCGGCAGTAGCAGCAAGCAGAAGCAGGAGCAAGGCAGGCACCTTGGTGCTTCGCAGCTTCTCCAATGCGGAGAGAGAGGAGACAACCCCAGACCCCAGATTCTTGACTGGATTTCCCCCATTCAACGGAAGCCAATTCTTTCTCTCCTCATCACTCTCTCCACCTTTTCCCACCCATTACCACCACCATCACCACAACCACCTCACCTCACCTCACACTCACGGGGTCACCTCACATCCATCACACCTCTCACAATACACTTCACTTCCATCACTCGCCAGGCCATATACCTACGCATCTCACTCACACTCGCACACGCATACAGACAGACACACGCGCACACACTCACAGACTCACACTTTGGACACGCGGGCGCACTACACTTCCCTGCTTCGACGCATTACCACCGCGGCTTTCTGCCTCCTCATCGCATCACGTTTCTCAATCCCTCCTCCGCTTTCTTTACACCTACCTACCTACCTTACCCGCCTCCTCCTCCTCCCGCTCAGGGCCGCCGCCATCAAGCTACCTCACCAGCTCCATCTCCAAGTCGTCCCCCCCATTGGCACGCCGGTCCTGTACACACGACATATCAAGCATTAATGTTACATGCAAAAGCGTCCCTTCTCCGTCAATCTTCCGCGGCACTCCGTTAGATCAGACCTTTGTCGCTACCAAGCTAAACAACCGGCACACCAGCTCTTCCACCGGCTCTCACGCGACATCTTTCGACCTCCAAAATTTCCCCTCCCGATACACGTAGTATCTCCATCTATACATGAGACTTGCTGCCTCGAGTACCGGTACCACAAAGCCTTTGTAGTAACGCCGATCATATCCTCTTACCTATCCAAGCACCTAGCATTATCTGCTTGTCGTACGGCGCCGCAGACAACCGGCATCTCCGTGTTTCCCCTCTTCACCATCCCAAGCTACCTTAGCCTACCGAGACAGCTCCAGCCTCTCTTTTCCACCCTTTTCCGCCCACGTCAACGTCGGTCTGCTCTGGTCTTTCTCATCGGCTACTGAGAAAGGTACGCCGCGGCTCTCAGCGTTTGCCTTTCCATTGTCTCGCTGCTGCCCTTTGCTCCGCCTGTTCGACTTCTACCGGGCCTCGCTAAGCCTCTGGTTCGCCCTAGTCCTCGCGTCTCTCCTCATCCTCCTCTTTTTCTCTGCTCCTCTCCTCTCCCGAGAGTCTCCTCATCTCCATCAATTCCCCGCCTTTTGCTCTCCCACCCCCTCCCTGCCATTCACTTTGAACTTCGCTGCCATTTTATCCAAGGTTGTTCTTGTTTGAGCCGAGTAACTACACCTTGGTTGTTCGCGCTCAATTCTCGCATGCATGCTTGTTTGTGTCCTCGCCCCAACGCACAAACATCCATACACATTGCCGCAACCTCCCACCACACATACATCTCCTTCATACTCGACCTCGCTCTGCCTGTATCCCTCGTGTCACTTGTGGTGCCGTGACACCAGTACTTCTCTTCTTCCCCAAATCTTCTCCTCCTCGCGCCCGATTCTCCTCGCAGCTTGCCCACCCTACTACCACCGCGGCCGGGACATCCCACTCCGAATCCTAACTCCTCACTTCGTTCGCGCGTCTCTCGCATGCTTTGCGGTACCAGTTGATTCGAGTTGCAAACGCCGGCCGCCACCGCCCGTGGACGCTTACGCCTACCAAGAGGCATCTGAGACTCACTCACGCTAGGCTTGCATGGGAAAAGACGAAAACGGGGGTTAAGCAGAGGACCGTTACCAAAACAATTCTCTGTTGTTCTTCGCGAGGACCTGAAAGCTGTCCCTACAACATATCATCTTCATATCGATACACACCGCACCCCGCAAAGTATCCCTTTCAAGCCCAACTCTGCTTGCTCCGCCTACCTTACCTCCTCCATTTCCCCCACTTTCTCGTGCTGTGTGACCTCGGTGGTCCTCGAGCTATCTATCCTATTACCTAGCCGAGCACACAGTACCCTTCTTTTCCCCTTTGCCTGCCGCTTCTTTGGGCAGCGTTTGCACGAAATGATGCCACTCCAGTCCATAGAGGGGCAGCCTCCTCACGGAGGCTCTGGCGTAGCTGGGGAAAATGGTGAGGCCCGGCAGCAAAAGCCCAAGACGTTGCCGTGCAAGTATTGCAGCAAGCGCTTCAGGTAAGTCGGCTCCCCCTCCTTGGTGCAAGGCCCCCAACTCTCCTCTCGATGATTGCCCTACCTTCCTTACCTTGGCTTTCTCGCTGTACCTTTCGCTACCTTAGCTTACATTGCTTTTGCATTCTAGGCGTGTGGAGCATGTCCAAAGACACGAAAGGACGCACACCAAAGAGAAGCCCTTTGCCTGCGGCTGGGCTCGCTGTGGGAAAACGTTCGGACGACGGTGAGTTCTATCAACCTTGCCCCCTGGCCATTCGTCATTTTACCATCCTGCGACCTGCCTGAGTACACTTACCTCACCACATCGACACCATATGCTGTCACCTTCCACACACACCACTCCACCCAGTTTTACTTTGCTTTGCTTTATCCCTAAGACCTTCCCCCGTCCCATAGCCCCGACTTTCGACTCCACCTCTTCCCTGTTCTTGATGCTCATCTACAACACGGCCGATTCCCCCTCCCAAGTCTGACGAAGGAATATGCTTATATGGACATCAGTGATCTCCTTGTCCGTCATGAGAAGCTCGTTCACCTCAACGAGGGCAGCAAGGAGAATAATCGCCCAAGAAAGACTTCATCCAGCACACATAATCCACCATCTTCCTCCGACAGCCATGTCGAGCACGAAATGTTGGGCGTCCAGCGCCCACCTCAGCCGCAGTATCACCAGGAGTCAATAACGGCCGTGGCATCCACCATGGCCCCAGATCCTCGCATGCCGGGCCCGGCCCGTGCCGCTGCTTGCAACCTCGATCTACTTTCTGATGCGGCCCTGGCCAGCGAAGTGAACCCCATGCAGCAACCTATGATGGCTGAGATGGGCCGTCCGCCTTCCGATCATACGAGGATCAAGTCCTATGATGAGTCGATGGGGTATCCAGAACGGCCACGGGAGGACCAGAATATGCTGGCGCCGGGATACGTTCCACAGCCCCAAGCAGCACCTTACGATGACTATCACATCTTTCTCGACGACTTTGCGCCTTCTTCGCACTACCTGCCGCCCCCGTTCGAGTCTGACCAGCAGATGGGAGGACTTTGGCCCCGTGGCGACATGCATCACCGTGGCCCGTCCAAGCCATCATCGCAGTTTCCGTCGCGGTTTCCTTCGGTTCAGCCGGATGGTCGGGAGGGTATGGAAGGTGGTCCAAGGAGCCACGAAGAGTCAATGAGAGCACCCCTCCGTATCTCCGCCGTCGACCACACGGTCATCAAGAATCGACTGGAGGAATTCTCTTCGGTCATTCCAAACGACTTTGTCTTCCCCTCTCGGCATACGCTCACTCGCTTCCTTGAGGGGTACATTAGCGGTTTCCACGAGTATCTCCCGTTCCTGCATATTCCCACATTAACGCCCGCTGAGATGGCACCCGAGCTTCTCCTGGCTATCTTGGCTGTGGGTGCACAATACCGATTCGAGAGCCACCGGGGTCACGCTCTGTGGTATGCTGCAAAGGCCGTTGCACTCGAGCAGATTAGAAGACGGCATAGCCATGAAGTTCATGCTCTTCTCCCGACTCCCGCTGCTTACAGCCCACACTCGACACGGCCATCTCCTAGCTCTGGCTTTAGGCATACCTTTGCCTCGGCACAGCAGGATCGCCCAATGACACAAGACACTCATCGCGAGCCTTTGTAAGTGTATCTTCCATCATGATCTGCTTCCCTGCCCTAACGGCTTCCCACAGCTCGCCAAACACACCGCAAGCTCGGCTAGAGACCACACAGGCTGTCCTACTGCTCTTCGCAGTCGGGCTTTGGGGAGCGAAAGCAATCTTGCATGAGGCTCTTTCTCTTCAGAGCCACCTTGCTATGCTCGTCCGCGAAGAGGGGTTGATAGCCGAGTCCAGCCCGGCTGTTGCACCCGACTGGGAGACCTGGATTCGACTCGAGGGAGCCACGCGCACAAAGTTGATAGCTTATTGCTTCTTCAACCTGTGCAGTATTGCGTACAACATGCCACCTCTTATCCTCACTTCGGAGCTTGGCCTATTCTTGCCCTACCCCTCCAGGCTGTGGAGAGCTGAATCGGCATGGCAGTGGCAGGAAGACAGACAAAACTACACTTCTGTCGAAATCACCGTCCACGACGCCTTCTCCAGAGTTCTGACGACTTCGCCGCAAGGATTGCCTCCACACATGTCGTCCCTCGGAAACTACGTCCTTATCCACGCATTGCTGCAGCACATTTACCTGCTAAAGCAAACTTCATTTGCACTCAGTTCGCCGTTTGGGCCGCAGAGGGGATTGAAGCCGGAGGATGTGGAAGAGGTCACTGCAGCACTACGGATATGGCAAGTTAGCTTCGAACACCGACACCAATTGCGAGCGGCCGACGCGGGGCATGTGGGCAACAGCGACTCGTTCCCGGGTGGCCCGGTAGCGTTCAACTCTACTGCCCTCCTGCGCCTGGCATACATCCGTCTATACACCGAGATCCCGCCCAACCGATCCCTCGAGACCAGGGATCACATGCTGGTGGCTTCGTCGTTGAGCAATATGCCCCTCCTCGTCCGTACGTTGAGGTTGCATCGAGCCGTGTTCCAAGCCATTCATGCTTTGTCAATGTTGGTCAAGGCCGGCGTGAACTACGTTGCCAGGACTAAGAGCCTGGAATGGAGCATCCAGCATTCCTGTAAGTATCTGTTTGCCAACGCCTCTTGTGCTAGCTAACCCCCTCTCTCTGTCAGTATGCAACTTCGAATGCGCCATCCTCTTATCCAAATGGCTCCTTACCCTCGCATCGATCGGACCGAATGACCCCCCTGCGACCCCCGAAGAAAAGAATCTCCTACAATCGGTGAGGAGAATGCTTGACGAGACGGAATTCGCTGTGCCCATAGACCCATCCCTCGGCGGGCCTACCGCCGGTCAACCTGCCAACAGCGAGGTTTCTGCGAACGACAGCACAAGGTTGAGGCAGCTAGCTGCAGCAGTCATCAGGCTCTGGGCGGAGACGTTCAAGGGCTCGCACATTTTCGACATGGTTAGGGTGATGGGATCGAGCCTAGATGGGTATGCTGATTTGGTCGAGAAGCCCCGCGACAGAACACCCCTGGGACGCATTGCTCATGACCCAAATCTCGGATGAAGTGCGCAGAGCCTAGACAGCGGAATGCTAGGTTAAGGTCATGGGGTTGCATGACTTGTACGGTTTTCAATGGGCTAGCAGCATCATTGGGGATTGATGTCGGTCGGCCGTTCAACGCCAAGACATGACTTCTCCCGATGCAGTTGTCTGCAGGGCACTGAGTACCTTTTCGCGCGTGCTTCCGAAGGCCGTAACAAGACGGTGTAGCCGCTAATCGAGGTCTTTTCGGGATGAGGAGAAGCTCCCAACGGCCAAATGCGTTGAATTTAACTGCAGAGGTGGACGAATTGAGCAGTAGCAGCGTGTCGTTAGTCTGCCTTCACATGTTGGAGAGGGGAGAGCGTGCGCGACCCCTGGTCGGAATTTCGGGGCGTCGAACCGGCGGCGGAGCACCAACAGACAGGGACCGGCCAGACGACGCAGGAGAGTGAGAGAGGGAAAATGGGACAAAAAACTTGGCTTGGCGTTCCAATGTTACGTGCCTTGATGCAAGTAAGGAAGGTGGCGGAGAAATAGTTCGACTGCGTGCGTTCCTTTTCACTTTGCCTTTTCCAGCTCTTGCGTGTACATTGTTTGGTGGGCTAGTCCGGCTCGTCGGATGGGTGGCGCGGCTCGGCCGGTTTGATTTAGCTATTTCCATCTTGCTTGTCTTTTTTTTTAGTCTGGTTTGATCTTGAGGGTTATGGAATACGGGCGAGAGAGATGTGTTGATCGGGATTGTGAGGCGTTGATAGGCTGTGGATGAATAATGAAATGTTCGTATCTGACGTTGCCTTTGGTGCTTGTTTCCCTTGTGATGGTGTCTGATGATCTGATAGCCACCAAAACATCTGAGAACATTCTGGGACTTGGAATCGACCGCCTTTCTCTCGTACGGGCATGCTCCAATATACGTTAGCAATTGTCATTACGGTCTCTGAGGATTTTTTTCTCTCTCTCTTTTTCTCAGAGCGAATCCGTGACCGGGCGAGAGGACAGGACCCATGTTGGGTGATATATACAACAATTTACAAGAATAGACTGCTCGTGGCGAGGCTTTCCTCTAACATTCTGAATCCAGCGGTCGAGTGTTGATGGTGGACTTAAAAAGGTGTTTAATATGCTTTCTTCTTGAGAGTAAGCACACAGGTACGGGATTGTAGTTTGACGATATGATGGGCGTTTGGCGGCCGTACCGGATGGAGATTTGAGTCATGGGGTTTTGTGTTTTTAGCTATGGCTAAGGCTAATTAAATTACGTTCTTACCAAGACGCTTTAGCATTTGATGTGTATTTAAGGTTGTATTTCACACGATGAACAGGGCAGTTGCTAAACCAACCTTTCTGAATCAAAAAGGCTTCAACGGATATGAATCCGTAAACTTGCCAAACTGAAGATGCTTTTCCACGGAACCGCTAGTAGTGGTGTTCAAGGACGCTAAGCACGAATGAACACCTACAGGTTATGAGATGACAATTAGATTAGAGTTGTAGACTTTTGTTTTGATTAGAGTAGAATGTCAGATATCGACAACGGGCTGTGTGTCTTACGCTTCCCCAGGGGGGGACCATTCGTGTGCTTGATGAACTCTATAAATGTCTTTCGCAATGAGCAAGTCGAATGAGCCGCAAGATCAATGTAGTAAGCTTTACAACGAGCTTGATCTTTTGTCCCAAGATAGCTAGGAACCTACCGAGGGCGGGACTTTAGACATCGAGACACCGATAACTGTAAAACGAAGCGAGCGACAGTGGGGACTCAAAGAGTCTATTTTCTATATAAAGGAGGAAATAGGTACTAAAGAAGATAAAAATAAAGCTGATTCGACCGTTGGAAATTTCCCGCCTGCTTCTATCCGGGAAACCAAACAAGCATCAAACCCCCTAAGCCGAAATCACATGGTAGCCCCTATTTCCTCGCGTTGCTGGACACCGTCACAGAGACTCCCGAAGAAAGCAGCATTCATTGTTTTCATGAGTTGCTCTGTTATGACGTTCCCGAACTTTCCAAGATTGAGACGATTTCTCTAGCACTTGACGGAGCTGAGGTTGTCGTTGAAGTTGGAGGGGACGGTGTTCTGGAGGCCTCTGGTGGTCCAGGAGGCACCGCCGCAGCTGCCGTCACTAGTGGTTTTGAAGAAGAATATGTCAGAGATGTTCTTGATGGTACTGCTTGTTGTGGAGACGGAAGGCATTGTTGTCCTCCGTTCTTTGAAGAAGGCGGGGGAGGAATGGTATAGATTGTAGGGACTCACGTGGAGAAGGTGCAGGTGGCGCTGCCGGTGTCAACGGAGCTGACGACGTCGTTCATGCTTCCGGGGAAGTTGGCTAAGATTTGTCAGTTTCCAAGGTGGGAGAGACATGGGTTGAGAATTCAAGTGTGGGAGGACGTACTGCAGGTGGTGACGTCCATGGTGACGCAGTTGCCGAGGGTCTGGTCCTTGCAGATGCGGATGGTGGCGGCGTTGGTGAGGCCGAGGAGGGCGATGGCCATGACGGTGAAGGACTTCATTTTGAGGTTGGGGTGGTTTGGGGGACTGGTGAGTCGGGAAAAGATTGGGAAGATTGTTTTTGGTGGTGGAGATTGCTGTGATGAGTGTTGAGATGCTGATGCTGATGGAAGGGAAGTTGAGGAGGAGGTGGGAGAGATGGGAGGGTTTTATAGGTGAGTTGGTGGTGTTCTTCCTTTCTTGATGACAGGATGCGAATACATTGCTGGACTGGGCTCTCGACCAAAGTACCCAACTTCGTTGTCTCCGTGTCGTCCTATTCTTTCACTTCTGATGTCAAGAGATGAATACATCGTAGTACTAGGGTCTCGAACTGGGGTACCCAACTCCGTTGTTTCTGTGTCGTCCTCCTTCCATCCCTCCGAACTTCATGACTTGAAGACGTCGTGGCAGTAGGGTCTCGACCAAAGTTCCCAACTTCGTGTGTCTGATCATCAACAATCTCCATCTCGCTTCGCCACCTTGATTGTTCCTAGGCTGAATATCCATCTCCTCGTAAACTTAAACACCAAAGGCCCTTTTCGATGCCCTCTTGGCGGCCGCTCCAGGCTCATCGGAAGGAGGCCTTGGCTAGGGCATTCCTATACAACCAATGATGATGCCGATAGTCCTGAAGCTCGCCTCCTAGCTGATCCTATTGCAACATCGGGATGATCGGAAGGTACTCGAGGGAACCTTGACCAGGGAACTCCTATACAGCCAATAATCATGTCGGGTGCCTTGGATGTTGCCTTCCGGGTGATCCTATTGCAACATCGGAAAGGACTCAAGGGAGCCGCGGCCGGGGCAGTCCTATACCGATACCTAGAGCCTTGGATATTGAAATGATCCTTTGGAGACATCGAAAGGGACTTAGGGAAGCCTTGGCGGAGACACTCCTATACCACCAATGATGAAGCCCGAAGATCTGAAGTCTCGCCTCCTAGACGAATCTCTTGCCAAGTTGGGAGAGACTATCGTCAGGCCGGTCTCCAGCCCCGAGCCAGAAGTCAGCGTGGGTCAGTCAGCCGCATTCGAGGGCCAAACTGACACTGTTGAGACATGAGATACTATCGTGAGATGTACGGGACTTTGGTAGAAGGATCCATTGATCCAATCACTTCATCTTGCTGAAGGCATCGGCACCGTTGAGATCAATACCCGTTTTGGAAAAAAACTCTACCGACCATGCTCGATTCGACAGGTTAGGAAGTTGGGAATACGGAACTCGGCTGCTCTTCTACGGGGCGGCGTGAGATCTCTCTCCAATGGCTCCCAATGCCTACTGCGGCTCTTCACAAGTTCTTTTCTCTTTATCCGTACTTCTTTTTAAGATTAAGCTCAACTAGAATCCTCTGCTGTCTAATGATGCGCGGAGACTTTATGGGACTTTGGGAGGCTAGGGATATTTAAACGGCATGGCCCGGCGGTTGTGGCGGCCGCTCCCTGTGAGCTCCACAAAGCCGCATTTGGCGGGGCGCAAGTCGGACTTTTCTCTGTGGTTTTTTTTGGGACTTTGGGATCGGATCGACAATCAACTCTACTTCAACTCGCAGCCGAGCGGACCGGGCCCCGTGCCAGCCTAGACTAGTCGGGTTCAAGTACTTGTCTCTTAGTAACTGCTATGTCGAGCTGTGAGGTCCAGTTTGTTAGGGATCGGCGGGCTAAGCTTCTGGACCCGCAGGGTTAGGCAGCGGGTTAGGGCAGCTTGTCTGGTCACGAGTGAGCAACTTAGCTAGAATGCTTAATGAGAACCTCAGAGAGCAGCGTCTCTACTATCATGAACCCAGCTAGCACTTAATTGGTACATGATTTGGCACAAGAGCGTCATAGGAGCGGCAGAAAATGTCGAGAGAGCCACGAGAACCAGGATCAAAGAGATGAGTCTTCCTCCAAGACAGGCTGTGCCAAACAAGAAGGTAACATTGCGTTGAGGGGGTTTGACAGCGGAGGTGAAAAGCCAGCGTCAATGAGAGCAAAATGACTTTAACCTCGGTACCTTGTCCTGAGACGCAAAGGATCCTATTTCCCAGTCTAGGCCTCGGTGAGAAGCTCCTCGATGCCTACGGGGTGGATCTCTGGGTACTTGTCATTCAGGCGGTTACCCTCGGGCACAAGGATCCGGCCCTTGACGCTCATCAATCCGAAAAGAGCCATCATCGCCTGCGTCTCCTCCACCGATGCCGGTCCTGCGCCGTAATCTGTCGACCAGACGGTTGCCTGGCCGTTTCTTAATTTCTCTTCTCCGTCATAGACGACGTCAAACTTGGCGCCTGCAAGGATAGACATGTTAGCTCTACATGAACCTGTTGACTAGTTTTGCGTCAAAGCTCCAAACGTACCCGTGGCTTTCTCCGCGATTTCCAGTATCTTGTTGAATGTGGTATCTGAGCCGCTGATGATGCTGACTTCGGGCCAGTCGGTGTCGGCGAGCATGCGGACGACGAAGCGAGCTACGTCTACTGAGTAGGTCATGGTCATGAGCTCGTTGCCGGTTCCGGGAATAGCGGCGCGGCGGTTCGCAATTGTCGACGGCCCAGGCGTGCGGGGTGAGGTTGCTTGGGGTGTGCGGCATGCCAAAGTAGTCCATGAACCACCCGTTGATGACACGAGTGTGCGTCAGGCCAGTCTTCTTCAGAGCGGCGGCTGCGTCCAGCCAGGCACCGAATGCCGCCGCGTTAGAATCGCTGGTCAGACATTAGTATATCACATCAAGTAGAAGAGGGGGCGTGTCGGGACAGAGGAATCTGTCCACTTACTCTGGAGAAACGTAGACTGTGAACTCGCTGGGTACGAATCGATGAGTCGACTTGGCCTTGTCGGCTGCGGCGATGAGGTTGAGCTGTGACTGGATGGCCTCCGCGCCCATGAGACCAATCGTGGAAATGACTGTTTCGACTTTGTGCTCCTCGAGCAGCAGAGACAGCGCCTCGATGTTGCCGTAGTCAGCAAGGACAATCTTTGCGCCACCTGAGGCGGGCGTGGCAGAGGCCTAGACAAATTGGTCAGAATGGCTCAAGCGTGTTTGCATACGGCTGTGGCTGTGGCATTACCTTGCGACTGAGCAGGATCACCTCGTGCTTCTTGCTGAGCTGCAACTGCTCGACGATGGTCTTACCGACACCGCCCGTGCCTCCGGCGACTGCGACTACAATCATGGTGGATGTGATGGTGATTTAAGATTTATGGGAATCGGGTGTTGTGCGTTGTTGCTATTGAATGGTTGATAAACATGTGCAAAATGTCTTGAAGCTCGAGGCCAGATACGAAATGACCGTACTTATAGTCGACCTTGATTTGGCTCGTCATCTTAGAACATGAGGCAGATATTCTGTCTTGGATTCTCGGAGGCCTTCTTAGAAATCCGCCTCTTGCGGATTTTCTATTGCATTAACTTGAAGATGAGGGGCAGCGGACCTCAAGTCGAGACACATGTGGCAAGTATTCGGCGAGTTGAAGATGTTTGTTCTCTATTGAGGAAGTGAAACTCGGAAGAAGCCTTCAGGTAGTGCAGAGAGTGCTGTTTCCAAGATCGCGGCTGCGTCATTGGGGCAGACTTTCGTGCTGCGGACTTCTGGCGCAGTGACCTGTTCTGCTGGCGGAGTTTTGTCCCGTGGGCGACTCGTGTGTGTGGTCTATATAAAGTTGTCGGAATTCGGGCCCCGCGGCCCCCTAGACGGTAAATTGGTTATCTTCTCACTACCTGCAATGGTTGCTCTGTTATCAGTCAGTTGTTCTGCTAAGCCTTGTTCAACAGACACTCTCCGTAAAGGTTCACGAAGATCTTCTGCAGGACGCCCATGTTCAAGTCACTCATTCCCGCACCCCTTTGTTCGTGTGATCAGAACTGGATACCATAGATGCCATTGAGCAAACTGACGAATTCATGATCAACAGCGGTTCATGGGCACTCTTGCGATAAGCTCGACATATTAGGGGGTATCAATCAGGGTGTTGCGGAGCGAGACCGAAAGTGCCCGTGGCTTTCGTAGATGTGACGCTTGATTCTCGATCAGAGATCCGGCGAAGGTTTCCCCGTCTGAACAAAAGTGCTTCGAATGGGTACAGATCGCAATGGACAATGAATTCTGGTGTCGGCGCTACTGGATCTCCCGAAGGATCAGAACTCGGTCGGTCCCTTGCATCTATCCGGACGGGAGACGTCGACCAGCGGCCCCGCCTCCGCGGGATGCGCGCGCCGCTGATAGAAGATAAGCACACGTGCGAGGTCATGTGATGGCGCGTTCAGCCTGCGTCAAACCTCCGTCGCGTCCATCGCCACCCTCCGCGGTCGCCCACTCGATGACGCACGACACCTTTCTGGCTTTGATAACAAACTTCTGGATTTGAGACCCAATCATTTTGCATGCACACCACGACTAGCTGCAGAACGACCCGAAATTGACAGAATCAATTGACTTTTTGGGATACAACCGAGAGAAAGATTGCCACACGATGCCCGCTCGTAAGCGCGCTGCGTCGCCGGCCGCGGAGGATGAGCCCCGCCGGCGGTCCCGGCGTGTGTCGAGCACTCCCAAGAAGAGCATGTACTTTGAGGGCGACGACGACGATGATGACTTTGATGGAGATGCAAAAGTTGAGAATGAGAGTGATGAGGTGCAGAGCGAAGGTGATGATGAAGAGGAGGAGCAACCCAAGAAACGTGGACGTGGACGGCCAAAGGGTTCAGCCGCTAAACCTAAGACTAAGCCACAACCCACCCCCAGCAAGTCAAAGGCTGTGAAGAGGCAAAAGATTGAGAAGGTTGAGGACGAGTATCAGGATGACCAGCCAGAAGAGGAGGAGGAGGAAGCAGAAGAAGAGGAGGAGGAGGAAGACTATGAGAGTAGGGTCACTGTCATTCCGCATGAGAAGCTGCGGGGCCTCGATGGACAGGAGTACTCCGACGACACCGTTCACAAGAACACCATGCTGTTCTTGAAGGACCTGAGAGCTCACAACCAGAGATCGTGGCTGAAGAGTAGGCTCTACATGGAAACCCCTTGATATTTTACGGACGCTAATCTAGTCCAGGCCATGACGGCGAGTATAGGCGCTCTCTCAAGGACTGGAACACTTTTGTCGAGACTATCACGCCCAAGATCACCGAAGTGGACTTCACGATTCCGGAATTACCTGCCAAGGACCTCGTCTTCCGTATCCACCGCGACATTCGCTTCAGCAAGGATCCTACCCCTTACAAGGTACCTACCACTCTTTATCGCACTCAAGCTGCTAAGATCTCCGCGGAAGAAGCATACTCACCAAGTGTAATCCGCAGGCGCACTTCTCTGCGGCATGGTCTAGAACGGGTAAGAAGGGCCCATACGCATGTTACTACATCCACCTTCAGCCAGGCTCTTGCTTCGTGGGCGGTGGATTGTGGTGTCCCGAGGCATCACATCTGCAGAAACTGAGGGAGAGTATCGATGAGCGGCCACGCCGGTGGCGCAGGGTCCTGAATGATGAAAGGTTCAAGAGGACTTTCTTGCCAAAATCGGCGCAGAAGGGGGGCGAGGAAGCGGCATTGAAGGGGTTTGCCGAGACGAATAAGGGGAATGCGCTAAAGACCAAGCCCAAGGTATATCTTCGTCGAAATCTGAGTCCTGACATTCAAATGGGTTGCGAAGGGGAGACCACGATGGTGGAAGAACTGTACTAACACGCTCCGTAGGGCTACTTGGTTGATCACCGTGACATTGAGCTGTTGAAGTTGCGCAACTTCACCACCAGCAAGAAGGTCGATGATAAGGTGTTTACCGCGGACGATGCTCAAGAGCAAATTTGTGAGATCATTGCTGCGATGCACCCATTCGTAAGTTGCTCTCCGCCGGATTCTCAACGTTTTGACGATTATCCGACTGACACATGGTGTAGATTACCTTCTTGAATAGTATTGTCATGCCGGACTTCAATGCAGACGACGACGACGATGATAGCGACGAAGACGAAGATGGAGAGAACGGCGAAGCGAATGACGATACCGAAGAAAATGGCGACGCAGAGAAGACAGGGGACGAAGACGAAGGAAAAGGGAAGGACTGGAGCACGCACAAGTTCTGAGACTTGGCTAAGATGGGACACGCCACTCTTCCGTCTAAAGTCTCCAACCCCGACCTAGAGTATGTGGTTACTGTTCAAGATGGCGCGGAGCTTTTGGTTGGAACCTGCAATGGCTTGATAGGGCGAATTTCAACTGGATGATGGGCCATGATGATTCTTCTTGTTGATAGTTTTGGCACATGCGAGAGTGCTTGTAGGATACGGAACTGGCGCAATGCACTCCTATGTGGTATTCGCTAGAGACGACTACCACAAAAAGTGTGGCATGGATTGTGATGCTCCCTTGTTTGCCCTATAGTTCTCTCTTACAGTCTTTGATCGTGAAGTCTACTCGAGTACCCAGCCCGACTTAGAAGCTCCGACCACCCTTCGCGAACAAAAGGGTGCAGCCTATCTTTGTTGCTTGGGGCACAGCCATCCATTGAAACACCTGATGAATGGATACTTCCTCGGGATTTGTCGTTGATTTGTGTCGAGGACCCGATGTTAGTTGTGCGATACATAGATCTTGAGTTGCTAAGTCTCCACGTTTCAATCTCACAACACTTTTGCGTCTGTATTGAGTCTTTCAGGTCGTGTTGGGAGCACAGTAAACCATCGCCTTAGATCTTATTACTCGCGTAGACTTGGCCGAGCCTCTGTCCAATGAACATATGGCTCCAGAAAGTCTCATCGAGGACTACTTAAACACAGGGGTCGAAGCCACTAGACAGAAGCTCCTCATCCACATCCACATCGATATTCAGTCTCATCCACAAATCCAACTTACACTACATCGTCCACTTCACCAAGCCCATTATCTAACCCGCTAATCTAGCTTCTTGAACCAAACCCACCCATCTTTCCTCGATCCTTTATCATCATGGGTATCAGTGTAATCAACGATATGGTCGACTTTTGCAAGTGGGCTACAGCAAAGCGACCCGACGGCTCCAATCGTCGGTACAAGTATGGGGATTGCCACAATACAACCTGCCATTGGTCCATGGAATATAGCAAGGATGTGTGCCACTGCTTCGACAAAGTCGAGGAGGACCCCAAGACTGCTGCTGAGGATGCTGTTGAGGATGCAGAGAAGTAGAGAGTAAGTTTAGAGGGCAGGTACCACTGAATCAAAAGCTTGTTTTTCATGAAATAGCTATCAAATTTGCATCGATATGGACTTTAACTGTGAGTCGGAATCGTAGATAGTTGAACATAGATATCATTACTTGGTGGCTGAGTTCAGGTATGCCAAGAGAGAAGTTAGACCAAACGAGTTGTCGGGCCTTTTCGACACAAGTACCTAGACATTTATCGTCCTACTGATGTCTCCAGGATAGCGTCTGATCAAGTGCCATTTACTCCGGGCAGGAACGCTACTAAAGTATATTCGCAAGCCGCCATGGCCGAGTTCGTGTTAGTAACTTGACTTGTGCTTGGAGTCGGGGCTTCAGCCCATTGAACAATGGCCAAGTCCCTGTCAAGTTCTGGAACAGCATTGAGAAGACGGGAACAACGCTCGAGTGCTCTCGTAACGAACGGAAAAGACGCGGAGTGCATTTGGTTTCCTCTAACGTTTAGACGTCAACGAGGTTCAGAGCATCTTTTCGGTCAATGTGGGATCACATGACGTGTTGTTTCGGCCAGTCACTGCGATTGGCCAAGCCGGATCACGGCGCCGAGCAGAGACGGTGGCCCTCAGGGGAGTGATGACTCCACAGGGTTGAAGCTGGTTGGACAAGGAGAAGTGGCTTGTGCTTCCAGCGTTTGTGCGAGCTTTGTTTTGTCAGATATCCTGACATCCCAAAGCTCGCTGTTCAGAGAGGTCCAAGGGGACTTGTCAGCAGTAACGTACCTTGAAGTCGGGTGATATTCTCCAACCGTGTGCCTTGCCGGACCCGAGACTTTGATGGGCAAGACAGAAGCCGAGTGAAAACTCTTCAACTTTTTGTGTGATTTGTTTTCTCCTTTTGTCTACCAGCATGCTGCATATTACTTGCTGTTCAAGTCCAGTTTTCAGGGTCGGTTCCACGGGCTCTTGAGTGAAACTACGTCAGCGGGGCCCAGCCCAGGCTCACGCGCACCCTAAGAGTACGTACCGGAGACACCCAGTGGAGCTAAGCTTGGAGGGCGCCCTGCCCCACCAAGACTGCCTCGTCCGTCCCTCATTCACTCACTTCATGCACATTCCATCCCGAGCCCGACCCGGAGCCCGATCCTTACGACAGACTACATATCTCTACCACTCACATCGTTTTCGAGCATCTGAATAACCTCACCAGCGACGATCAAGCAGCTCCGGGCAGCCGCATCTTTCACCCTATCCTTGAAACCCCAGGCGGACCACCCTCCGTTAGCTAGCGGCGACCTCAACGCTGAAACCCTCCTCCGGCCTGCCACCTGGGTTGAGCCGCGCTACCGTAGACGCCAGTTCTTGTTGCTTCAGGCCTGCGCATTTTGAACTCAGAGATACCTTAGCGTAGTGCCTTCCGAGCATCATGTTTTCTCAGGTATGAATGACCCCTCATCTTCTCACTCTCCGCAACATCGGGAGGTTACGACCGCGCGGGTGCTTTCGATGAGGCTGTATGGATCGATGGTGGTTGACTGGGAGCTACGTTTCGGTGGCATGATGGGATGCCTATCTTGAGCCTCCGAAAGCTTTACGTAGCCTCAAAGGAGCTATGTCGTCTATCGAATACGCAGGAACTGACACCGAGCATAGAAGAAACCGTATTCCGCCGTCACGGTTAGCGTAGAGACGCTGACCGCCGAGACATATGATGAGGATGATATGAGCGGCATTCCTGACCTCGTAGAAGTCATCAAACTCCAAGCTTCCGGCCCCGCGGAGGCTGCCCGCGCCATTCGCAAGAAGCTCAAGTACGGCAACGTTCATCGCCAGCTCAGAGCTTTGACCATCCTGGATGGTTTGATCCAGAATGCCGGCCCGCGTTTTCAACGAGCTTTCGCCGACGAGACCTTGCTGGAACGACTGAGAGTCTGCGGAACCTCTGATCTCTCTGACCCAGACGTCAGAAAGAAGTGTACAGAATTGTTCCGCAGCTGGGCTCAGTACAAAAGCACGCCGGGCTTGGAGCGTATTGCGAAACTGCACCAGGTACGGCTAACTTTATTACTCAACGATATCAGCTAATTTGTTGTAGGAACTACCCAAGCGCAAGGTTGCTGTGACCCAGGAGCGATCCAAGGCTGTGCGGGAGACTGAGAATCCCTTTGGGGAGGAGGAAGAGGACAAGCCCCCTTCGCCCACCACCCGCGCCGGCGAGTCATCTAGGCCTCAACAAACGCCGTACCTGCCTTACGGTAACACATCCAACGTCACCAACTCTTTCAGCCATTCCAAGTCCTCTTCCCATTCCGGCGGCTCCTTCTTCGGGTCGTCAAAGGATAAGAAGAAGAAGGACAAGGATAAGAAGGGCAAGCGCAAGCCCTTCAACCTGGAACTGGAGAAGGATGCAATGAAGAGCGCGATTGCTGAGAGTTCCATCGCCACTACCAACTTGACCAACCATCTACAGAGTATCAACCGTGAAAGGGAACGGATCTCTGATAACGCCCAGGCTGTACAGCAGTTCGAAAGCTGCAAACAGCTTCGACGAAAGATTCTCCGCTATGTGAGTCAAGTTCGCGCGTCGCCTTGCGATGATTTCTCTTGACTGATTGCCACAGATCCACCACATTGAATCCGAAGAGTGGCTCGGCAGTCTCCTCCGCGCCAACGACGAGCTTGTCACGGCACTCATGACTTTTGAGCAGCTCGACCGCTCGATCGACGCCGACAGTGACTCCGATGATGAACTTGCCGAGCAAGCTCACATGTACCGAAGTAAGTCTCCCCTGACCCAAATCACTTCTCAAGAGCTCCTACTAAGGCATTGACAGTGGTGACAGAAAAGGCCAAACAATCCATGTCTCCACCTCCCCCCGACGTCTCTGGTCTGAGCATCGGCAACACGCCGCCTCCCCGTCCGCCTGCTCCACCCCGCCCGGTCCCGATGGCGAGGCGATCTCCGCCCGCCCTGGCACCTGCCCCGGCGAAGCCCCCGAGACCTCCTGTCCAAAAGGTCGTTGAGCCTGACTCGGAGGAGGAGGAGGAAGACGACGACGACCCGTTTGCCGATAAGAACGCACTGGAAACGCCAGCGATCGAAAGAGCAGAGCCGAGATGGTGATACCTGACCGCCATAACCATTTCCCATCATACCTTTTCATCTTCTTTGTACTTTCCCTATCTCATTCAAGGATATCCCGCCGAGTTGAGGGGTTGGATTGGTGGTCGATAGATCGCATCAGGTGCAAGTTGAAAACCTCAAGTCATCTAGCAAAGCGTCCCGTTTTAGACTTTATTTCCTCCGTTGATGAACGATTCAAGAGCATACATGAAATCCTACTATTTCGGTGCTATTAATTTGGCTCGCCACTATAGAGTACAGAACGTCCCCATTCCCGAACTTCCGAAATCGGTCACCGACTTCCCGCCGTTGGTCCTGTCTCGGCCTCAACTCCCCTTTGGGATCAGCGCCCGGGCCCCCAACGTCCCCGCCGAGCGCCCATTCCGGGCGCTATCGCCCGATATGCCCCCGCCGGAGATGCTACGATCCCGCCATCCCTTCGGCGGCATGTGTTCAAATTCTGAAGCCTGTCAAAGCTGTTCCTTGCGGGAGATGGAAAGCCCCTCCAATAGGACCCTCGCTCGCGGGGCACGGGGTTTCCTCCTTGACAGCTCGGCCGAAGCTCTCCCTCTTGTGTACATCCTATCATCCTATGGATAACACGCAAAACAAAGTTGTGAACCCCGCGGTTCGATGTGACATTAAATCAGGGCCCCGACGTTGCACCGCGGTGGGATTTATTGATTTATTGATCCCTTTCGATTATCGATAACCTTGAGCTACACTTTAGGGATGTTTTCCGTGACTCGCGCAACTGGCAACGCGTGCGGATGGTGCATCGAAAGTGAGAAGTGACATGCAATAAGATGAGAAGGTTCCCCTTTCAGGAGGCCCTGTAAGAAAGACTCTCCGTAAGGCCATCGCGACTCGCGAGGGACGGTCCTGCATGTCATTTACAAGGATGGCGGAGAGAACAATGACACTGATTCTGATCGCGCACGCTCAACTCCTCATCGCCGAGCCGGGGGCAGCAGGAATGTCCTCCGTCTAAGAGGTCTATATGAGCGAGTCCTCCTCCCCTTATGCCTCGATCTTGTCTCCTTAGCCTTCGTCAAGCGTAGGTCACTCGTCCATCCCCCGACAGTCTGCTAAGATGCTCGCTTTCCTCGCGCTCACCGTGGCCATGGTCACCGGCGCCAACGCCGCTGCCAATACAACCACCACGCTCACTCCCGTCCTGCGGCCCGAGTGCAACAAGACGGACCTGGCCAACCTCGTTCCATCCAACGACATCACCCTCAACTACGGCGCCGCCGACGACAAGAGCCTCGTCAGCGTCGTCCTGGCCATGAAGTACCCCTCCGTCGTCCTCGAGGAGGTCGCGGCCATCGCGAGCGTGGAGTGCGCCGAAGACGCGAGCATCACCGTCACGTTCAACGCGACGGCCACCTTTGAGCAGACTTCTCAGCAGTGGCAGGCGCTCGACGACTTCGTCATGGTTACGAATCACCTGGGCAACTGTGATGCTGAGAATGAGCGCGGCTTCTTCTTGGTTGATACCGTTACCTGGGACGCTGAGTCTCTTCAGGTTGTTGCTAATGCTCACAAGAGCGACGTTGCCAACACGGCTAGTAAGTCATGCCTCAAATCCTACAGAAAGACAGGTGCTAACCACCATCACCAGCCTCAACGGAGATATCCTTCTCCAACGTCCCCGTCCAGAACTCTGCCTCTTCTAGACGTGACATCAAGTGGGACGACGGCGGCGTGGAAATCACAAACACGCTCGCCCTCCCCGCTAACACGAACCTCTTCACCTACGACCCCTATCTCTCCGTCACGGCCGACGAGGCCTCCCTGACGTCCAACATGACCTTTTCCGGCACGCTAAAGTACAGTATCATCCCCCTCAAGGTCGAGCAGCTCGCCCTCGACATCGACACCACCTTCGAAGCGGTCCTAGGTCTCACCGTCGACGTCAAGGCGCCGTACTCTGGTAACTTTACCTATGATCCCGAAGACCTGGGCTACGTACGTATCACATTCAACTTGACGTTACATCCTTTGTTTCCCACTAACACCTGGAACCAGAACTTCGTCGACATCCCCGGCATCATCAAACTCGGCCCCGCAATCGGCTTCGCCATCGGCATCGAACTCGAAGCCGACGCCAAAGCCTCAATCACCACAGACCTAGGCCTCTTCTTCCCCTCGGCAAACCTCCACCTCGACCTCGTCGACGCCAAAGCCTCCTCCGCCACGGGCTGGGACCCGATTTGGACCGCCCGCGCCAACATTTCCGAAAAGGCCGCCGTCGGCGTGAACCCCTACGTCGACCTGGGCGTCGAGCTCGTGTTTGAAATCCTCGGCGGCACCATCGATCTCAGTTCGGGGGTGACCTCGCGCTCCAAGCTGGTGAATGACTTTGCGCTGTCTGCGAGCCAGGAGGTGAATGGGACTGGTATCAGTGTGGGGCAGAATAACGACACGGGGTGCGAGGAGGGTCTTGCGGTGAAGAGTGATTTCTTCTTTAGTGTTGTTGGGTTTGCGACGCAGTGGTGGTCGCAGGAGCTTTATAGTGTTGAGGTGCCTGTTGCTGATGAGTGCTATACTTGGTTGTGAGCTGTTGTTCATGGAGGGCGATGCTGCAGCTGCCAAGGTTTTGGGAATGGTTACTGATATAGTAATTTCGCGAATACCGTGGCGATCTCGCGTCGGCATCGCCATGTGCGAAACGAAATCGGCAAGTCTAGAAAAGTCAAGCTAGCACGGGTCCTTTTGTGTCCCTGGAAAGACGTCAAGCATGCTTGTCTAGGGTACCACAACCGAGTACAGATGATTATAGACCTGAAGTAGTGTTTAGACCTTGCCTGCTGCCCGGTTCTTTCCTCTAAAGACAAGAGAAACCATCTCCCTGGCAGGTATTCTTTGTTCGAGTTCAGATCAGCCCTGCCGTTTACCTCGAAACAAACGGCATACGCCGGACAACTTCAAAGACACAAATTAAGTTCCTGTGGCTATAGCTTTAAGTAGATTCAGAAACCTACGTTGGCTACCTATGCATGAAAAGTAAATCACTGCTGCTAATATTCACAACCCACCATCGGCTCTGAGAACTAAAGACATACACCTCATTCTAGAGATAGGTAGGTACTTTTATGAGTTTCTCTATGCTTCAACGACAGGCAAAGCCCTGAATGGGTCAACGGCGTGATGAAGCTAGTAGTCAGGTTTCCCTGGAAGATGTCCAAAGCTACGATACCATGGCTTTCTTCCGAAGGGAATGATTCATACGTATTTCTGCTAGCGATGCATTTGAATACTAAATGATCCCTTGCAAGATGGCCTGGTGGACGAAAAGTCCTTGAGAAAATTATACTGAGTTCTTCTGTGACATTCCCATGTCGATATACTCTCGATCAGACCAAGAGTTTGCATTAGCATTCACTCACCACAATCAAGGAACTAAGCCCCATTGGTGTTGTAGATGTTCATCATTATCACAGATAGTCCGAAGCCGTGACTCGTTTCTGCCCAATCACCAGCCTACCTCATAATAATGGACTCGTTCATTGTGACACTTTCTGAAGAGCCTCCTGAACCACCTCGGCCCGCCGTTCCCCTTGGCTTTCGGAAATAGCCGAGGCACCAAGAAAGAATGGGAAAGAAGGGTGAATGAGGGGTAGGAGTATGGCGGCGGCACATCATGACCCAAGCTGCCGCCGCTCTCGATCCAAGCCTCAATAGGACAAAGACCGAACCCGTGAAGACTTCGTTACCTAAAATCGATTTCATAGTAAATGATTACTTCCTTTCGAGGTACTTTTCGCTTATTGAGACCTGTCACTCGGTCATATTCCATCACTCGACGTGGCAAAAGGCAGCGGAGGATTTCAGCTTGCGACAAAGTCATACACCACGAGACCACTTGCGAAACTGCGCCCAGTGAGCCATCATCAAGATGAAGCCCCTCCAGTCAGTCGTTCTCCAAAACGTGAAAGATCTGTTTCTCGACGTTCGTCCCGACGACCCGCTCTAAGCAGACCATGAAACGACTCGACATCCATGTACCTAAGCTACTTTGCCTTTCTTCAGAAACTCCGTAGCCCTTGTCTCCGGTTATTTGGTGCGGCATATCGTCATGAGATCAGAAAGAGCAATCGCACGATACGTACCGTGTATTATATAGCCCAACGGAGCAACTCCTCCACGCTTTGTGGTCATTCGAAGTGGACTGAGTGGCGTATATGATGTTTCATGGGTGCATGCATCTATCTACTGCATGCACTGTTGAACCACGCACCTTATTTGAAGCAAAATACTTGTAGCTTTCGTGAAAACTGCTTTCTGTCGCAACGTCCCTGTGGTAGATGTGGAAGCAAGTCAATCACTGCTCCGAACAAAGTACATAGCCCAGAGTGCTTTCGACAAAAACAGGGGCTTTCCTCAAGTCACAATCCTATTTTACAGGCTTCGAAGCAGACTTGCTCATTACCGCCAGTCTCACCGCTTGTCGTGGCGGATGTCGTAGGATAATGATCACTTACACGGCGAAACGCATGCATCTTGCCTTATGCTCTGCTACCTACTTATGCACCACGCCAAGCTGGGACGCAGCATTAAGGAGTCACCACGACACAGACTACATTTCCAGGCCAGCTGCAACGCCTGAAACCTATATCGATCTCCCTTATTCTGCCTGAGCTACGCGGCGGTGAGGAAGGCCACATTTATCCGCCGCGTTTAGCCTAAACCACGCGAGTTCTCGATTTGGCATCTACCGGTGAAGAAATTCTGCACGCGACCCCCTTGCCAGCGTGGTCTGTTCAATCTACCGGGGATTGATTCGAGACAACATCTCCCTCAGAGCCACTCCCCCTTGTCAAGGAACCGAATCCCTGGGAAAGAGATGCGGTTGGGAGAAGGACTATCACTCCAGCGATGATGGATGGCACTGCCACTCCGAGTTGCGACGCCATGGGTGCTATTCCTCTGACATGATATGATGTTCTCTGGGGTAGGAGGAAGTTCGCCAGATGCCCCATACATTAACCATAGCCATGTCAGTGCAACACGCTCGAAGAATCTGGGGTGCATGACCCCTTGCTACACAGTACCAACCTTGCCAACAGTGTCAACACGGCTTCAAGGACTACTTGGTGGGTAATCAACAGGATTGAAGCAAAGGATGTCCTTCCTCCGGAGTCCATAACTGTGTTCTTGCTCGAAATGTAAGTCGCGAACATTTTGTTCTGGTGGGAATTCGGATATGAACCCAGTAAATGATATGTGTATCATGGAAGAAGTTTTCTCTTCCCTCAAAGAACCGTAGAGGCACTTGGCCCGAAGTCCCGGGCCCGAAACTGCTGAAAAAAAGTCACCTGGCACACAAATTCTCACCGAGTTACAACATCCCTGACACCTCGGTCAGCCACAGGCGATACCTTCAGCGGAAGGATTTCCCAACAGAGTCACATCCCGCTCTATTCAACCTTGGCTTAGCAGTTTGACCTACTAGAACACCGGACCGAATAACGGCTGAACAAAGTAGTGCATCCTTCCCCCCTCAAACAAGCCGTTACGCGTGGCTGTCTTGATCCGTGAAGGAGCATACTGTGACTGCTGATCCGAAGCCAGAATCCGCAGCTCGTAATAAACGGAAACCAGGAAAGACTTGAACGGGCTGTCCAACAGTGTCCGAGACCCCACGTCGGCCGTACGGCCCCTCTCTCGCTGAAATATCATCCCGGTTTCCTCCCTGTCATTCACGGACAATCCAGCTCGCGCCCGGCAGCACAAGGCCGGGGGCGGGGGAGAACCAACTGACCTCTCGCGTCACAGCATCCCGTGCGACAGTACCCAGGAATAGACAAGATCTGACCCAACCGTGTTACGCATTGCATACATCCTCAGGACTTTTTTTTTTTTTTTTTTTCCCTTGTTCGTCTTACCTCTCTCCCCACGGGACGTGCCCAGCCCCCCTCGCGCAGTGCGAGGGTGAGCCGAGAATCGTGTCACCCTCCATCCCCGTACCTCAGCACAGAGTCTGTCTGCATACAAGATTGAAGCACGATTACCACACATGGCAACACCATGGGTCCTGCTGAACGACCCCGTCCGAGGTTGTCCTCCGTGGCACCGCGTCTCCTGGCTTCGGCTCGGCTTGCGGCCTCCGCTGGCTGCGAGATTTGTCGGGCCGCGCGATCGCTAAGCCCAGCTCGTGGCATTGGTCTACAACCTGTTGTACTCGGAGGCGGGGAGGCGCCAGTCTCGTATATGATGACTCTGCAATAACCTGCCTGCCTCGAATCCCTTGTGGCTTGATCCGACGACCGCGAGACACCCATGATGGCCTATCTGACAGCACACCACGACCCTTTCTCTTGGGACATGCATGTCTTCTGAGACCCTTTACCATTCTGCGATGGAAAGAAGACGCGAAGGATGGCGTGAGAGGTGGATTCCTGGAACGGACCTGCGCGACAGCAAATTTGACTTCATTACACAAACTTTCGCACATGACCTTCACAACAGATTCTTGCGCACCCTCAAGGGACCTTTCGATGCTCTTTCAAGACTCTGGCGATAGGTACAGGATACTGTCTAATGCTTATGTCGGCCAAGATGCCTTGTGGTGATACCCATTCCGAGTTCGTGTCGGTCGTAGCTGTGTTCCTTGTGCTTCTAAATAGTCACTCGAGGCTGAACAGATCGTCTGTGTAAACTCGTGTTGGAAATTTGTCCCCCTGCTGGATCGGAAACGGAACAATAGTGTTCATACCATGTTTCCTTCAGCTACACAGAGACAGCGGGCTCTTTCCAAGCCGAACGGCTACTTGCATTTACCGCTCAGGTCCAAGGTCCAGACTCGTGTTGCTCTGGATCATCTTGGCATATCATTTCGCAGCAGGAACCATACGGGGGCACGCCAGGGATCGAGGAGTTCGCCATTCATCGATTGAGATGATTATCGCTATACGACACCTTGCGATCTCAAACCTACGCCAACTTGCTCATCACCAGAGTACGAAAGTCTCAGGATCTCGGACTATGCTAGTATTTGGTACTCTGCAGGTAATTTCAAAACTTCCACGAGGGAAGGCACAATAATTTGGCATCTAGGTACTTGTATCGAGATTCCTGTTGAGCTCATCGAATCGTCTATGGATCGAACACGATTACCATCCCTGGGGAGCTGGCTCGTTGATACATGTACATGTCGCAGCGCACATCAGACTATCGCTCGAGCGGAGGCTAGAAGACCAGAATTCTTACGGGTTTCCGAGCCTCATCAGAAGCGGAGTGATCTCCTACACCCAAGGTATCTCCTTAGTGGAGAACTCACGTCCATGATGCTATCTCGACTCGTTGTAGGTAAGCCGTAGGGTTCAACGGCAGCCTAGTCCTTGCCTCCTTGTCGCTGTATATCTCGTCAGACACCACGACGAGTGATGTGCTAGTCTACAGGTCTCATCTTCAGGAAGAAAGTCTGCATGTAGTTTCCAGTGCCGTGGCCGATGTACCCTTCAGACACTCTTGACCATAGCGTGCAGACCGCAGTGGAGAGAGGTGGTATCAGTAAGCCACCCGACACTGCAGTTCTTCAACGAGGATGTGCCGGCGGGAGCGAACGTAAGAACGATGTCTTTGCATCTCCTAGCGTTGGAAGCCTCCCGCAATGCGCCCGTGAACACTACGGCTCCCTCCGGATCCTGCTGTTGTAGAAAGTAGCTTCGCCGCCAGCCTACTTCATTCTAACCCTCACCGATGTTGCAGACAGATTTCTCCACAAACTCACCGAGAGTGATGTCGTCAGCCCACGTCTGACCACCAGTCTCTCTTTTCCCAGACCAAGTTGTCAGCGTCTCTCGATTTCCTCCAGTCAGGCTCCCCAGATACGCGAAAGAGGTAATATCACGCCACATAAACGTCGCTCCAGTATCTCGGCCCGCAATCTATCGGCGTCAGCAAGATCCACGCCACTCCCGCTCGCCACGGAAGATCCTACCGCAAGATATGTCAGAGTCAAAGTAGTGACAGGCCCGAACACGCCGCGTGGG